ACACACACACACACACACACACACACACACACACACACACACACACACTGAGCTGCCTGTCCCCTCTTCAACCTTCTCACAGTCAGAGGCCAGACAGGGTCAAGCAGAGGGCGAGACATTTATGAGGTGCAGATATTTGTGCAGGAAAGCATTCCTCCTGTTGACACTGAGGAACTCAGTCTGGATGCTGACCAAGCTGAAGCAGACAGGCAGTGAAATGTGAGGCAGGCRGACTCGTCTGTCCGCTGAGACGGAACAGGAGCCACACTGGGAGCTTTCTGAAKGGTTGTTCAAATAAGAAAACTGACGACTTGATCACTTGGCAACCTTCTCTCCTCCTCACTGATTTTTAATCAGAAAGAAGAGTTTAAATTTTATTACTGCGATTTCTATGAATGCTCTGAATTTTTATGTTAAATCCCTGATGAATATCATTCGTTCTGATTTAAACACATTAACCTTAACACCCTGGCACTTTTAACCCTGCCCTCAGCTCGAACAGCACACGGAGTGTCACTTACCCCCCATGCCACTGATGCAGGAAGGGCCGCGGCTCGGACACGGGGCAGTGGCCACAATCAACACAAAAGCTTGTGGCGGTAAACAGCACAGTTTGTGTTCACTGGGCCACTGCTGGAGGTGACTGATGTGCCCATTAGCCTCTGCCTGGGCACTGGGGGGAGGAGAGCTGCCGGTGCTCTGGCTGCATGCAGAACAAAAAGACCCCTTGGGTCTGCAGAGAAAGGTCAGTGACCCATATTGTGTCTCCTTCAGGGCTCGCCAGTGGTCATTGCACTGATTCAGGTTCGAGAAATTGGCTTTGTCAAAGCTGATGAGCACGTATGCAAACGGACAGATGCTGGACAGACGATGGATGGTGCAGCTGTGTGGAGGAATATACCTGCTGCTCCGGGCGCTGAAAGGAGAAGGGTACATGTAGCCTCAGGCGTTTTGTGCTCTAATAAAAAATTCTGCTGCCAGGCTCAGTTTTTTAATCTAAACCTAACAGGAAGGGGGGGGGGGGCATGTTTTGGTTTCAATGCGTTTCAAGTCATGCATTGTGCTTTATCTTCCACTAGAGAGCAGCCTGTTTTACTTTCATTTGTCCTGCAATAAAAATGTTTGTATAGATATATTTTATGTATTCAGGAGAAACAGTCAGTTTGAGCTGCAGTCTTCAGATCTGTTTTTTCATTTATGTATATTCCAAKAAAAATATTTGACTTGTAATGTATTTATATTTAAAAATGAAGCACAATTTTAGAGTATAGCCATACATTTAGAAAAAAAAACTGAAACGTGTTAGATAGATGTATAGAGACAAAATCATCATCTCAGGGCTCTTTCAAGCCTATTACATGACACTAAAAAACTGTTCACTTCAAGAACAAAAAAAGTACAATATTTACTGTGAATTACTTTAACTTTTGAATCAACCTCATATTTTCAGATAAAGAACCCAGACTTTATCTGATGCTGTGACARATCTGCTTCCATCAACTAAGGAGCACAAAGCTCTAACTTTGTTCAGTCAKAGACACTGATCTGAATCAACAAATAAAAGAATTTGGCAGAAGATGGGCTTTGTGGTCATCGACACTTTGCAAGTAAATCCAAGCACACACTAAAAAAACCGCAATAAAGGAAGAACAGTAAATTTGAACAGATTGTGTGTCTCTCTCTGTGTGTGTGTAAGGTGTGCCCTTGTTTTTACTACTTGGTGGGGACRATTTTTCAGGAAAATGCAGCCTCGTGGGGACCGGGTGCTCCATGGGGTCCAAAGCCCGGACCCCACTGATTTCGGGTGCTGGGGTTGGGTTTAGGACCAAGGTGTGAATTGAGTTTTAGTGTCAGGTAGGTACCTGTGAGGTTAATTTTAGGGTAAGTGGTCAGGGTTAGGATATAAAATTTACAAAAATGAATGAAAGTCAATGGAAAGTCCCCACAAGGATAGAGACATAGTAGATGTGTGTGTGTGTGTGTGTGTGTGTGTGTGTG